CCATCAAATGCTTCTCCGAGATAAGGTGCATGTGCCCAGAAGCTCCTTTCGTCTTTGGCACCATGCAAGATGAGTCCACTTCGTCAGAATGAAGGACCCATGGAACAACATGATTCTACTCTTGCCTCTGCAAGAGTTCATGTCCTTGACCTCTGTCTAAGGAAAGCACTGTGCCTCCGCTCCATGTTCCAACTTCTATGCTGGCTCCCTTCATGCGGCTTGGGTACTTCGCCAAGTTACACCCAAGTTGCTCCGCTCCTCGTTTTTGCATTGAGTTGATGGTGGCCCTTGCGCCCACCATTCCATGGGTCAGCCCTCCCTTGAGTCCAATCTCCGATCGACTCCAAGTGTGTCTTCATTTGAGTTGCTTTGGGTCGCTCTCCCACTTGATCTTGCAATGCATCCACCAATGCATTCTCTCGAGCGAGATAATGCGACGACTCCTCGCCGCTTGCTCGGTCCATTGAGCTTCGTGGAGTTGTTGTTTGTTGAGGTACTCCTCCTCAACATGTGCGGTCTGTCTCACATGATTCTCCCTTTGGAGAGCTAGGACTTATCCTTCCTGGATAACCATCCCGTTGGAGCAACATCTCTCTCCGTTTCGGAGACCACCATCCCCTTGGACAACTCCGATTTGCTGAACAAACTATGCATTGTTCTGCCTCCTGCAAATGCACTTGCTAGAATGCGACTCCACGTCAATACAACCCCCGATGCACCGCTCAAGGCCTAGCAACATGATGAACTCGTTGCACACTTCAGCCTCCTACGGACGTATCCTTCACATGCTTAAGAGAAAGTTTCAATGCTCCATGGCACCGAGTTTCCGTCGTCTTGGGATGGCCGCGAACATTCCATCGTCCGCATACAAGCCCATGCATGAGTACCGAATTCTTCGAGTTAGCAATTCCTCTCACCTCTATGAGCTTTGCACAACTCTTTCGATCGCTGAGCAACTCATTCCACCTTGGATGGTCTCATCCTTTACCAAGTGCCTCGCTTACCTTGAGCACCATCAAGTATAGTTGTCAACGTTGAGCCATAGCTCAAACTCAACCATCCCAATGTTTGTACGCTCCGCATTTTTCCAAGCTTGCCTATTCTCATTGTGCCTCTTGCGCGAAGGGTTGGCCATTCCTCTGAATGCCAATGTCAGATGCCCGCTCCTCCGAGCGACTCCTTTTCCCTAAATCTCCATGCCCATTTTCCCTCCAAACGGTCGCGCGTGTGCTGACTGCCCTCAACGTAGCCCCGCGAGGTCCCCCACGTTTCGCATGCTAAGTGTTTCTATGAGTGCTTGTCCCGTTCTGATACCATCTGTCACGGACTTACCTGGTTTTGCCTAAGTCGTGCGGCACCCTTGCGTGTCCGTCCGCAAAGGTCAGCCTCCCATGTCCATTAGGACCCACAAAAGAGAGAACGGGTTAGAGAAAATGCCTCATTCGGGATCCACAAGCAAATATTTCCGAAAACACTTCATAGACAATGCAAATTATAAGCAGACTTTATAAGCTCTGAATAGTTGCACAACAAAAGGGTAAAATGATTCATTACAGACCGAGAATCTCTCACACGTGTCCACATGATACAACATTTATTTACAAGCCTAAAGCGACAACCAACCTAACTGAAATGAGACTATTAAGCCTTCGACCGTCCCTCTACATGCTGTAGAAAGCATGAACATACCAAAAGACACAAACATACATAAGCATTATATCAAATATTTTGTTTAAAAATTTATCCAGGGTGGAAGAGCTCATCCCCGCTCTCACTTTGGAGTGAAAAGTAACTTGAAAACATGACAGACATGACAAGAGAATCATGATGTAATGATGTTAGAGGATTTCTCTTTGCAATTTGTGTGGTGACCGGAACAGAGTGGATTTGCAGCGAAAACAATGGCTAATCTCTTTCAACGCAAGGATCATTGCTCAAGGGATAGAGGACGTACGAAGGAGGCATGACATGCCCTTGTCTTCTCGGAGAACATGTTGGGCTCCAAAACCAAATATTGCACTTCAGCATATATTAATGTGTATTCTGAAGCACGCACGACGATGAGGAGCAAGAAATCTGGTAAGTATTTTCCATGTCATTATTGAGTTTTTTCAACAAAATATTTCCTAAAGCAAAACATATAATATATATATATATATATATATATATATATATATATATAATCTTCAATAACTACCTATATTTACAAATTGAATATTATAAATGAGATGAATGTTTGAGTATACAATAAACTCTAGGTTTCTTTAAATGTTATCTCGATCGTCTTACTCCCACCACGAGTGTGTATCAACTTAAACGTTGGATGGGTTTTGCCAAACATACATTTAGTATAAATTTTACAAGAATTTTCAAGAATTACATATTTGAGTCGAGAAAGTACTTTAAGCAAATGCTTGAAAGAATATACTAAAATATGGATCTCAAACATAATAAAATTCGAAAAAAATGAGATAAGCTAAATCAGTCTTGTCACATAAGGTTGACAATAATTTCCACATTAACAATCTCAATTATAACAAAAAGATCAATTTTATAATTTTTATAATTTATTTAAATAAAAGATATTTTAGAGAAAATTGCGTATAATAAAAGTGAACATAATTATTATTATAAATACATGTATCACATTATTAGCATTGTTTACAACGCTTACAATACAACTATAGTAACATCGTCAATGGTAACACCAATTATCCTCTCGGTGGTGGAGGATCAACACGGCATCGGTTGATGGGGTTACAACCACGGTTGTAGGGGTTGCCTTTGGAGCCAAGGTAACAATTTTTTTTTGAAGCATCTCTCGGATCACAAGGGATCCTATCACCACCCTGGTCGATGTCGGTGGAGGGCTCAATCACCCTTCGCGCAGCCTCAATCTCTCGACCAGCGAGGATCAAGACGAGCAAAAGGTATAAGCATAAAAAAACTGTAATTATGTTATTATGATGCGAAAAAAATTAATGCTAGAATCAAAGTCAAATAACAATATATCAATATCAGGATTACATACCTTTTAATGTCATTATGAAAACCTCTATCTGATCTGCAAATGTACCGCCGTCGGATCTGACACTTATAGTGGTGCTAATATATTGAGTCACTAAGAGGTCCTATCTATTTATAGGTGAGAACAGAGAGTCTAGGATAAATAATTAGGAAAGTCCCTTCATCAAGGTATCTCATAAATAATTATATCATAATTGAACTTCATTTATATTGGCTGGTAACCATAATTATAATTTAATTAAATATATAATATATCTTATCTAATTAATTAAGATCATATAATCTAACATTTTGTGAGCAACCTTAGTACCTATGATTACTCCTTTGCGACTTAAGAGACCAAGGATCGAGTCACAAAAATAACTTCTTTAAATATTTAAAAATAAGGTTATGTACATTAATCCTCCTTAGACCTTGGAACGATGGAAGCCTCATACATTCGGTACGTCTTTTTTTACATAATCTAATATTCTCCTACTTGATCTTTTAATTAGTAAAATATTTAAAACTAATTTTACCTAATTAAATTTTAAAAATTTTAAAAATATTTTATATATAATTATGAATTTTAAAATAAGTTAATAAATATAATAATACTATATTAACTCTGACTATCGATATAAGTCATAACAGTTGTATATCATCAATGTCATACTCCCCTCTATGTACTACAATATTGTTATTTTTTTAAAATTATTCATAATGATCGTTATAATTTATCTTATCAAGATAATCTTATTATCACATTCAACTATAATATACATATACATAAATATAAACAAGATAACTGAAATAAATAATTTTAATTTAATAAATAAAAAATATCAATAATAATATTCACTTAAATATATATCATCATATCTTTACCAATTGCTCACTAGCCCTATCATAATAATATTTTATTTAAATACTTTAGATTATAAGGCTTTAGTAAATGAATCAATAATCATTAAAGATATACTTAGATTCTCAATTGACATTTATTGTTTCTAAATTTTTTGTCTAACCACAAAGTACTTTATCTTGATATTGCTTAAAACCAGTAAAATATTTGTCATTCTTAGAGAAGAAAACTACTACGGTATTATTATAAAATATCTTTAGTGACCAAGCAATTGAGTCGATCATATTGTAAGATGAAGTTTTACAATCATAAAGTTTGATTTGTAGCCTTAAAGTATGTCACAAATTTAACGTTCATTGTTGATGATATGAAAAGTGATTATTTTATTTTATTTTTTTAAGAAATTATCTCTCTAACTAATATAAATATGAATATGAATATGAATCCGAAGAGGACTTTTTACTATCAAGATAGTTTATAAAATTGACATTTGAATAGTCGATCATTTCAACTTAATCTGATCCTTTATGTGAGCACGTAAAGATATCTTTTTTTAATTTTTTAATATTTTATTTTTGGGTTGCTTTGGTATTTAACCATCATTTTAACTATAAAATTGATATATAGTCTCGTATAAGTTTAAGCATATAATATACTTCTAAATAAGACATTGACCAAAGTCAAAATTTGATCAAAATTAGTCAAAATTTCTTTGGCTAAAAGCCTCTTTTCATGCTCCCCCATGGTGGCTTCTCCTCTCCGGTGGCCCTTTGTGAGCAGCACTTGGAACTATTACAAGGGATTTGGAAAGGGAATGCTTCCCAAAGTAATTTGGAACTATTACAAGGGATTTGGAAGCAGTTCTTGTCATGGTGTTCTGCAGCAAAGAAACTTGCTTCTTGGTTCTTGAATTCTCTTGAGCAAATGCATTCATCTCTCAATTTCTTGATTCTACATAACATGAATATGTTTTATATCTTCATTTTCAAACTCCTTTTTTCTACCATAAGCATCAATTTCTTGAGCTCAAGATGAGGAAAACTCCATGTTGCTTCCAATTTAAATATATGATGATGCAAGTAGGTTTCTTGACAAACTGGAAGGGTAAATGACAAAGATAATTAGGAAGAGGATGGAAAGAGGAAACCAGAGATTCCCATTGTTAGTGGTTCTTGGTCTCCTCATCTTCTCTAGAAACTATCTTGAGCTCTGACATGTAAGGAAATGCCAAGTCAAAACCTCATGGCCATTTCAATTTGCAAGTTAGGAGCACCCACCTCACATATTCTTGAGTGGCCACACTAATCCCTCTAATGAGCAATTAGACATTACAGGATATAGCAAAAGAAGACAACCAAATGAGTGGATCAAGATTCTTTGGCAGTAGCTGTTTTAGGTTGGAAAACAGTAATGCATTATCATAGCATTGAGATGGTGGCTTGAAATAGTCATCATTTGACTTCACACCATTAATCTTTGTTTTGATTTGTTAGATGAGAAAGGATCCAACCTACTGCTTCTACTACATTCATTAAATGAACACAAAAATGATGCATGCACCAAATTCAACACCAACTACAATTGACAAAATTTCATGAGCATTGCATTCTGATTCACTTGTTACTTGGACTCAGCCAAACAAGAACACCTCTGTAGGCATCATTATGAACAACTCCTTTTAGAATATATCTCACCAAATCACTATATAAATATAGCTCAAGTTTCTTCTTTTCTTGCTGCACCAGCTAACATTTGATCTCAGCTATACATATACATACATATTACACTGCTGCACTGCCTCTACCGAGCAACAAATGGCGATACCAGTGCAAAGCTCCCCGCTTTTGCTCGCCGTCCTACTCCTCCTGTCCACCGCGGCCGCCGCCGGCGGATCTGGGAAGCAGCCCCCCCTTGGCTGGATCCCTTCCCTGGCGGGGTGCCGCGGCACCATCGCGGAGTGCCTCGGGGACGAGGAGCTCGACCTGGGAGCCGTGGTGAGCCGCCGCGTCCTTGCCACCTCCAGTTACATCAGCTACGGCGCCCTCAGGGCCGACACCACCCCCTGCTCCCAACCCGGCGCCTCCTACTACAACTGCCAGCCCGGAGCTCAGTCCAATCCGTACTCCCGTAGCTGCTCCGCCATCACCCAGTGCCGGAGTTGAGCTTGGTATACGTGCTCTGTTAGTACTGTACTTAGCTGGTTGTGCTATCGGTGTATTGGTGCTGTAAACAGAGTCTATGTGCAACTTTCTGATTAAAAGAAAGAAAGAAGAATAAAAAGGTCTTAACTACTAAGCAATTATATTTTGATTGCAGATAATTTGGCTTTCTACATCATGATCTTTATTCAAGTGGATTCTCAATGTAGAGATGTTTTGGTTTGTGGAAGAGCACTTGTTATGCTAGGCATGCAAGTTAATGGTTGCACTGGTTCACTGTCATGAGTTCCTACACCTTCTTGTTCACCTGAATCCTAATCATCATTCCCTTGTGGGAGAATCTTTGCTTCTAATTAAACCTTTGGAGGAGTATGCACCTATGAGTTTTGCTTCTTGATTGTTGAGATGACATTGCTCCATGGTTGTAGGAATCTGCATGAACTTACATGGCAACTCTGTTATGCCAATAAAATAGACTAGTCCTGCAGCTTCTGTGATCCTATTATGTTTCAGTTGTTCAGATAATTTGCAATGTTTCTTGCATGATTGCCCACTAATTAATACACTGGACTCAACCTAATTAGATTGGAGTCAGCTGATCAATGCTGATGACTGTCTACAGAGTTGCATGCTGTGCTTAATGATACAGCATGTTGTTTGACAATATCATGTTGCAACTCAAGTTCCATATTATGTTATTTTTGTTCTTCAAGGCATGACTGGGAGGCAACAGATTGCTGAGAAGTTGGTCCCATTGGAAGGCTTGCTCAACAGATGAGAAACATGAGTCTTCGTTCTTGAAGCCATGAATGACTGGTATCCTACACCTTCTCCATTGTTCTCAATCTGAATCTGTTCTTGACATAGCTTTAAAGAACTTCTGTGTTATATACTGTGCCTTGGTCATCAGACAAGGAAAAAGAGAGAAAAGAAAAAAGATGAACAGTCTGAAGTGTTGTGATTCTACAAATTTCTGTTAAAGATTAGTATCACAAGGAAGGTGAAAAAAATGTTGAATCTAATGATAATTCTGCAATTTTCAACTAGTAAAAGAAAATTGATCCAGTGCATGAAGCTCCTGTTAGCATATCAATATATGCAATCCTATCTTTACAAATTGAGAAGTTATGTTTGTTACTTAGTCTAAGTCACTGCAACTTGCTGATGAGAGTGATAAATTATCCAGTAAGGATGAGATCTAATCCTCATCTCACATGAAAGCCACACATTTGTGGTTTGGATGAACAAAACTTGTGAGCCATTTGTGGTTAGGATGCTTATTTTTACTTGCAGTATGAGATGATCTTGGTACAAGATAAACAAAACCTGTGTTCTATCTGTGGTTCATCATGGTTTAGGATGATTTTAATCAAGGAATGATGCAATATATGATGTGTTTATGATGATTTTGGAGTGTTTGTTTAGTCCTCCAGCTAATAAACAATTGATTTGGTGTTTCCCTCCAATCCCAGTGATGTATACATAGCATTCCACTCCAACCTCTCTTCCCATCTCTCCATGGCCTTGCTTCTAACAAGAGGGTGGAAGAGCTCATCCCCCGCTCTCACTTTGGAGTGAAAAGTAACTTGTAAACATGACAGACATGACAAGAGAATCATGATGTAATGATGTTAGAGGATTTCTCTTTGCAATTTGTGTGGTGACAGGAACAGAGTGGATTTGCAGCGAAAACAATGGCTAATCTCTTTCAACACCAAGGATGAGGCTTTGTCATTGCAAGGGATAGAGGAGGTATGAAGGAGGCATGACATGCCCTTGTCTTCTTGGAGAACATGTTGAGCTCCAAAACCAAATATTGCACTTCAGCATAGATTAATGTGTGTTCTGAAGCACACACGACGATGAGGGGCAAGAAATATGGTAAATATTTTCCATGTCATTATTGAGTTTTTTCAACAAAATATTTCCTAAAGCAAAACATATTATATATATATATATATATATGTGTGTGTGTGTGTGTGAGTGTATATATGTATATATATAAATATACATATATATATATACATATATATATATATACATATATATATACATATGTATATATATATAAATATATATATATATACATATACATATATATATGTATATATATATATATACATATATATATATATATATATACATATGTATATATATATATATGTATCTATATATATGTATATATATATATGTATATATATATATATATATATATATGTATATATATGTATGTATATATATATATTTATATATGTATATATATGTATATATGTATATATGTATATATATAATCTTCAATAACTACCTATATTTACAAATTGAATATTATAAATGAGATGTATATTTGAGTATACAATAAACTCTAGGTTTCTTTAAATATTATCTCGATCGTCTAACTCCCACCTCGAGTGTGTATCAACTTAAACGTTGGATGGGTTTTGCCAAACATATATTCAGTATAAATTTTACAAGAATTCTCAAGAATTACATATTTGAGTCAAGAAAGTACTTTAAGCAAATGCTTGAAAGAACCACTTCGTGATTATCCTCTAAGTCAGAATATACTAAAATATGGATCTCAAACGTAATAAAATTCGAAAAAAAGAAGAAGAGATAAGCTAAATCAGCCTGGTCACATAAAGTTGACAATAATTTCCACATTGACAATCTCAATTATAACAAAAGATCAATTTTATAATTTTATAATTTATTTAAATAAAAGATATTTTAGAGAAAATTAGGCATAATGAAAGTTAACATAATTATTATTATAAATACATGTATCACATTATTAGCATTGTTTAAGACGCTTACAATACAACGAAAGTAACATCGTCAATGGTAACACCAATTATCCTCTCGCTGGTGGAGGACCACCACGACATCGGTTGATGGGGTTACAACCAGGGTTGTAGGGTTTGCCTTTGGCGCCAGGGCGACAATTATTTTTAGAAGCATCTCTCGGATCACATGGGATCCTATCACCACCCTGGTCGATATTGGTGGAGGGCTCAATCACCCTTCGCGCAGCCTCAAGCTCTCGACCAGCGAGGATCAAGACGAGCAAAAGGTATAAGCATAAAAAACCTGTAATTATGTTATTATTATGCGAAAAACTTTAATGCTAGAATCAAAGTCAAATAACAATATATCAATATCAGGATTACATACCTTTTGATGTCATTCTGAAAACCTCTCTCTGATTACCGTCGTCGAATTTGATACTTATAGTGGTGCTAATATATTGAGTCACTAGGAGATCCTATCTATTTATAGGCGAGAACAGAGGGTCTAGGATAAATAATTAGGAAAGTCCCTTCATCAAGGTATCTCATAAATAATTCTATCATAATTGAACTTCTTTTATATTAGCTGGTAACCATAATTATAATTTAATTAAATATATAATATATCTTATCCAATCAATCAAGACCATATAATCTAACATTTTGTGAGCAGCCTTAGTACCATGGTATGGTTACTCCTTTACGACTCAAGAGACTAAGGATCGAGTCACAAAAATAACTTCTTTAAATATTTAAAAATAAGGCTATGTACATTAATCCTCCTTAGACCTCGAAACGATGGAAGCCTCGTACATTCAATACGTCTTTTTTTACATAATCTAATATTCTCCTACTTGATCTTTTAATTAGTAAAATATTAAAAGGTTTTAAAATAAAAAAAAATTATTTAAAACTAATTTTACCTAATTAAATTTTAGAAATTTTAAAAATATTTTATACATAATTATAAATTTTAAAATAAGCTAATAAATATAATAATACTATATTAACTTTGACTATCGATACAAGTCATAACAGTTGTATATCATCAATGTCATACTCCCCTCTATATACTATAATATTATTATTTTTTAAAATTATTCATAATGATCATTATAATTTATCTTATTAAGATAATCTTATTATCACATTCAACTATAATATGTATATACATAAATATAAACAAGATAACTGAAATAAATAATTTTAATTTAATAAATAAAAAATAATCAATAATAATATTCACTTAAATATATATCATC